CGGGATATATTCAATTTCTCAGCAAAATGAAAAACTTCTAAATAACAAACAGACATAATCAATATCAATATCATCAGTATTATCCTTATCCATGAGTCTCCTAAGTGCGCTTCCATTAGTGAGACCTCTTGGGAGTCTTTGTTTACAGAGGTCACTGCGCTCTTTGTCTGTGAATGTATGGAAGGTGACACTATCCCTCGCACTCACCTCTCCGCTTTTATTACACTCATCACTATCATCACATGTATCACTTCCCTCATCATTATGACCAGTGATACATACACCATTATCAACAACCGGGTCATCTCCACACTCAGTATCAATCAATACATTACACTCATCAGGTTGACTATCATGATGGTCTTCACTGCCCTTATCATCTTCACTGTGATTGTAAACACCACTATCAGATTCATCGTTTTTGTAATTATTAACACCACTGCAATCATCAGTTTGTTAATCATCACCACACTCATTTTCATAATGGCTGACACTCTGTGGGTTGATGTACTCATTTGCAACCTCTGTAAGTTTTTCCTGGTGGTGCTCAAGTTGTTGTTTCAAACACCATTGTTGCTTCTCCAGTACTGTTATGCGCAGCTGCATGTTGTGTACCACCCCAGCAAGACTAGCGTCATCTCGAAGTATGAAGTCCCGATCAGCTCGAAGGTCATTTGGTGTATATCGGCCTCTGTCTGTAATTTAGAAATTGCTGACACGTTCTTGCTGAAGAATTGGGATAAATAGTAGTGTACCCAGCAGAGTAGCTGGTTTTAATATTGTAATTATTAATTTAATGTTAGGTCTAGCATTTTTGTGGGATTATAGGAAATGGGCATCGAGGGAGTGACAGCTAGGCGACCTACTTTAAGTCCTACTTAACTCACCCAAATTACTTGCAGGTAATAATTCAGGTATTACTCTGTAAACCTCCTGCAGGATTTAAGGAATAGTCACAATACCATGGTTCGAACAAAAAACCAAAAATCCGCACTTAGGAAGGTATTTGGGTTCATCCTGGACTATAGTTGTCTTTAGCTTGACACTACACAGTCCTGGTTCAGAGTTGTGCGAGGCCTCTAGTACTAAGACTTCTTTATTAACCCTTAAACTGTCCAAACGTAGATCTACGTTTTATTTTACATGCTTTAAAATGTAAACAAACGTAGATATACGTTACAAGCGATAGTGGTGCAAACGTAGATCTATGCTTGGACAGTTTAAGGGTTAAATTACTTGTGGTATAATATTTTGTGTTCAGATTGCCGGAAAACTTCTTGTTGGGTCTGTGGAGTTAGTGGCCGGTTTCACCCTCCTTTCCTTGCTTTTAATTCTTTTAATATGACAGTGTCAATACATGCCACATGACCAGTACATAGCATGCCAAAATATAGTCTACTACTGTGTCAGTATTAATACATCCGTTATACATCCCTTGTCAGCGTACACCGTAATTCTTTTTCATTGCTAGCCTAAAACCGTGTCAGCATTTTATTTTCCCGTGATATCTTACTACTGTGTCAATATTTTGTTCTCTATGATAGACTACTTTGTGTCAGTATTTTATTTTTCACTGATAGCCTATTATCGTGTCAATATATTTTTTTCCCCATGACAGCTTACTGCCATGTTAATTTTCACAGCCGATGTATTGCACATCCTCTTACTGAACATTGAATTATTCAGTAAGCGAAATTTGTCGTACCTTTCTCTTATTAATATAATTTTTTTTTCATTTCAGATGTGTGTGATGATCATTCCTTTCGTCATTCTCACAGTCAACGTGTTAAATTTTGTATTTTTGCTAGCACGAGTGAACTGATGGGAAGAGTATGTCATTTGTGTTTTGTATACTGCACTGTCTTCCAATACACATGACCTGCCCTTTTAATTACAGTGTTTCACTGTTGTAATGAGCCACATAAGTTACCAATGAAAACACCTATTTGTGGTTGCAGGGGTCGAGTCACAGCTCTTGCTCCGCTTCTTCACTGGCCGCTACTGGGTCACTCTTCCTGCTCCATGAGCTTTATCATACCTCTTCTTAAAGCTGTATATGGATCCTGCCTCCACTACATCACTTCCCAGGCTATTCCACTTCCTGACAACTCTGTTTACCTGGAGAGGGTTCCGGGGGTCAACACCCCCGCGGCCCGGTCTGAGACCAGGCCTCATGGTGGATCAGGGTCTGATCAACCAGGCTGTTACTGCTGGCCGCACACAAGCTGACTTTAGGTGCCTGTCCAGTGCCTGCTTGAAGGCACTTGAACAGTCTTGGGCCCCCGACACTTATTGTGTTGCCTCTCAGTGTACTCGTGGCGCCCCTGCTTTTCATAGGGGGAATGTTGCATCTCCTTCCGAGTCTTTTGCTTTCATATGGAGTGATTTTCGTGTGCAGGTTTGGTACCAATCCCTCCAGGACCTTCCAAGTGTATATTATCCTGTATCTCTCTCGCCTGCATTCAAGGGAATACAGATCAAGGACCTTCAACCGTTCCCAGTAGTTTAGGTACCTTATCGCACTTATGTGTGCCATGAAGGTTCTTTGTACACTCTCCAGGTCTGCAGTGTCGCCAGCCTTGTATTCCATCCTTGCTAGGTCCAGTCTTACTGGTTCATCCTGTCATCTCTTTCTGGTAGTTTCTCTTACATGTTTACCTGGAGTTTACCTGGAGAGAGTTTCGGGGGTCAACGCCCCCACGGCCCGGTCTGTGACCAGGCCTCCTGGTGGATCAGCGCCTGATCAACCAGGCTGTTGCTGCTGGCTGCACGCAAACCAACGTACGAGCCACAGCCCGGCTGATCAGGAACTGACTTTAGGTGCTTGTCCAGTGCCAGCTTGAAGACTGCCAGGGGTCTGTTGGTAATCCCCCTTATGTGTGCTGGGAGGCAGTTGAACAGTCTCGGGCCCCTGACACTTATTGTATGGTCTCTTAACGTGCTAGTGACACCCCTGCTTTTCATTGGGGGGATGGTGCATCGTCTGCCAAGTCTTTTGCTTTCGTAGTGAGTGATTTTCGTGTGCAAGTTCGGTACTAGTCCCTCTAGGATTTTCCAGGTGTATATAATCATGTATCTCTCCCTCCTGCGTTCCAGGGAATACAGGTTTAGAAACCTCAAGCGCTCCCAGTAATTGAGGTGTTTTATCTCCGTTATGCGTGCCGTGGAAAGTTCTCTGTACATTTTTCTAGGTCGGCAATTTCACCTGCCTTGAAAGGTGCTGTTAGAGTGCAGCATATTCCAGCCTAGATAGAACAAGTGACCTGAAGAGTGTCATCATGGGCTTGGCCTCCCTAGTTTTGAAGGTTCTCATTATCCATCCTGTCATTTTTCTAGCAGATGCGATTGATACAATGTTATGGTCCTTGAAGGTGAGATCCTCCGACATAATCACTCCCAGGTCTTTGACGTTGGTGTTTCGCTCTATTTTGTGGCCAGAATTTGTTTTGTACTCTGATGAAGATTTAATTTCCTCATGTTTACCATATCTGAGTAATTGAAATTTCTCATCGTTGGTACATGAGGTTTTCCAGTACCACCTCCGTCATCTTAGTCCTCCACGTTTCTGGGCCTCCATGTGGCTCCAGGTTCTCCCAGTCAGTTTCTTTGTGATTGAAGTCACTCACAATCAGCAGCTTTGCCCTGCTCACATGAGCCCTTCTGACCACTTCAGCCAGTGTGTCAACCATCACTCTGTTACTCTCATCACATTCTTGCCTTGGCCTCCTGCTGTTCTGCAATCACCACCTTGGGACCTCCAGACTGAAGTGTTCCTATTTTGTAGTCTCATGCTTCTCCTCTGTCTATCTCCAGCTCCTGAAAAACCCATTGGTTTTTGATGAGCAGTGCCACTCCTCCGCCCTCTCTGTCTTTCCTCAAGATCTGATATCCTGTTGGAAAGATGGCATATGTTATCATTCCTGTGAGCTTCGTTTCGGTGAGAGATATGATGTCCGGTGATGCCTCTTTGATTCTCTCGTGCTACTTCTCCCACTTATTCGTTATTCCATCAACGTTGGTGTACCTTCAGATTCCTCTCCAGCACTGTGTTCTGGGAAGTCTGTGAGGGTGGGGGACCTGGCAGTGTGCTGTGGGATTCTACAGCATAGTGTGGGGTGGGGCTGTATGTGTGTGTGTACTCACCTGTTTGTGGTTGCAGGGGTCGATTCATAGCTGCTGGCCCCGCCTCTTCACTGGTCGCTACTAGGCTCTCTCCCTGCTCCACGAGCTTTATCATACCTCTTCTTAAAGCTATGTATGGTTCCTGCCTCCACTACATCACTCTCCAGATTGTTCCACTTCCTGACAACTCTATGAATGAAGAAATACTTCCTAACATCCCTTTAACTCATCTGAGTCTTCAGCTTCCAATTGTGACCCCTTGTTGGTGTGTCTCATCTCTGGAACATTCTGTACACCTTGTCAATTTTCGCAGTATTTAATATGTCGTTATCATGTCTCCCCTAACCCTTCTGTCCTATGTCGTCAGGCCGCTTTCCCTTAACCTTTCTTCGTAAGACAATCCTCTTAGCTCTGGGACTAGTCTTGTTGCAATCGTATTATACAATTGTATTATGCAATTGTATAATACAATTTGTAGAATACTACTTACTTTGTTGTACATAGGTTGTACACCATGAATTAGGTGTACATACTTCTTAATATCCACTGTTCTTGTGTAAAATATCTAAAAATTATTCTTTGTGTATACTTGCAGAGAGAGACCATAACAATGCTTCAGTGCTAGTGTGTCCCTTAAAGACAACAACAGATAATGAACACTACGCGACTATCACTGTAACTATCAGCCTCCCAGACTATCCTGTAAAATAGTTTTATATTCTGTAGAAGAGAACCTGAGGAGTAATATTAATTATACTTTGTAATATTCTGTGAGATACTACGAGCCTATGTATATTATGATACGGAGATAATCTTAACATAAAAATCTTTATATTGTCCTTAAATATTATTACCCTGGAGATTATTTGATTTAATTTAAATGACTTAAATATTATTACCCTGGAGATTATTTGATTTAATTTAAATGACTTAAATATTATTACCCTGGAGATTATTTGATTTAATTTAAATGACTTAAATATTATTACCCTGGAGATTATTTGATTTAATTTAAATGACTTAAATATTATTACCCTGGAGATTATTTGATTTAATTTAAATGACTTAAATATTATTACCCTGGAGATTATTTTATTTAATTTAAATGACTTAATATTTTATTTAATTTCATTGATTTATCTAACATAATGAGGTGGAGACAGTACTTAGGGGCTTCTGTGGTGTACTCATCTAATTGTGGTTGCAGGGGTCGAGACTCAGCTCCTGGCCCCGCCTCTTCACTGATCGCTACTAGGTCCTCTCTCTCTCTGCTTCCAGAGCTTTGTCATACCTCGTCTTAAAGCTATGAATGGTTCCTGCCTCCACTACATCACTTGCTAGGCTATTCCACTTCCTGACGACTCTATGACTGAAGAAATACTTCCTAACATCCCTCTGACTCGTCTGAGTCAGTGTTACTGTGTAGGTCTCAACTACACAAGTAACTCTCACTCAGGTCTCCTGAGGTGCACATCAACCAGTTAACTCCTGCAGCACGTGGATTATATTTTATATTTAGCCACCGAAGTGGCTAGTATATTGTGCACCTCATATCCATCCTGTGGACGGTAGCGCAACACCATGTAGATACACAATAGGCCTAGGTACTAGGCCTAGGCCCGGTGGCCTGGTGGCTAAAGCTCCCGCTTCACACACGGAGGGCCTGGGTTCGATTCCCGGCGGGTGGAAACATTTCAACACGTTTCCTTACATCTGTTGTTCTGTTCACCTAGCAGCAAATAGGTACCTGGGTGTTAGTCGACTGGTGTGGGTGGCATCCTGGGGGACAAGATTAAGGACCCCAATGGAAATAAGTTAGACAGTCCTCGATGACGCACTGACTTTCTTGGATTATCCTGGGTGGCTAACCCTCCGGGGTTAAAAATCCGAACGAAATCTTATCTTATCTCTCTTAAAAAGGGTTAACAGGTGTACATTTGGGTTTATATCTACATATGTACAGTTCGCTCATCTGTTACAAGCAAATTTAGGGAATTTACTTAGTGTGGAAAATATTTTAATTTTCCGAAGCTATAGTGCCTAATAGGTGTTTAATGTGTCTATATGAGTCAAAAATATATTTGACAATAGGATAGAACCAAGAGTTCCCTTTGCGCATGCGCGGATGTGCGGGGGTATAGGTCGAACTGGGGCACGTGGTGGCGGGAGTGTTTTGAATGTAGTGAGGAGGCTGGGAAAGCATGGAACCAGGAAATTGGCGTTCACGGCGGCCTAAGGATTAATATAGGCCTTATTTCATATTAGGAAGTGTCGTAACTGTTCCTGGTGGAGAGTGAGGGAACGTGGTTTACGGGACCACCGTAATAGAGTGGTAAAATGAGTGAATAAGGGTAGGACCGGGTGACTGGCGCATCGCCATGGACTGTGTCCCGGGGAAAATTACCCTTGGTTTAATCATCACTCATTGGTCTCAGATCTTAATGGAGTGATCTCTAATGTGTATAATAATTATGAGACATTAAATCGTCTTGTGAATTGTAACGTAATTAATGATAATAACGCTAAGTTAAGAGAATGCGTGAAGTGAAATAAGTCGCCTTGCTCTGAGTGAACACGCTAGACCTCGTTGTTCTCGTCCCGAGGAAAGTGAAGTTCATTGAGTCACGACTTCTAAACCGGGACAAACCAACGGATACCTCGTCCTGCTGGAATGAGAACCGTGTCGGTGTAGCAGGACATCGGAATGAGATGGTGAATGGAGGAAATAAGGAGTATCAATCACCCACAGTTAAGTAACCCTTCTAGTTATAGCAGACTGATACTGGCCAGTTAGGTATGTTGTAATTGGATAGGTTATGGGTGATCCAGCTACATCAAGTGACCACCAGAGAATATCTGGTAAGTGGTGGGATTATATACAAATGTTTTTCCTTGATGGATATATCCATGTGTAACCTACCCCCCCCCCCCCTTCATTCAGTTACACTAATATAATCTATACAGTCCACAATTAATTATTAGCGCCGTACTTGTGGGTGCTATCCAATCTATACTGGTCCCGGATAGATATGGATAAGATTGTGAGGTCGAAGGCCCCCCTGCAGTGACCAGAGGTGGTGAAGTTTTCTCACATATCTACACGGGGTGACTACGGTAAACAATATATGGTTGTCTCCCAATGAGATTACTTGTATGTATATAATGTGGAGGTACATAAAGGTAATCACCCCTATAAAATTTTCCACATCTGCCCGCTGGTCCTTCCTGAACAGGATGCAATCAGTGAAAAAAAAATAATTGAATTAATTACTTAATAATTAAGTGACTGATTGAAGGAAGTGGGTATAGGGTACACAAGTTTAATCGATCGTGTGGTGGATGATAATTAGCCCAATTAATTGCTAGCACATGTGTGGCTAGGATTTATACAAGAGTAAAGTGCAAGAATTACTCTTATAAGGCGCCTACTTAAGTTGTATAATCAGTGATTAATAATTCTCTAACCATGACTGGATCTGATGGAGTTAATGTGGCTGACAAGTCCGTGAATTTTAGAGTAATGAAAGCATCATTACAGGCTATTAAAGGCCATGTGACGAAGGCATTTGATTTAATGAATCAAAGAACCGTGAACCCTAATGAATTAAAGTTATATTTAGATGCTTTAGAGAGTAGATTTGAGTGGTACAAATTGTGGTTTAAAGACTGTGAAAGAGATCTGCTGGAGAATTGTGCAGATGGAATGGAAATGAATGTTTTAATTAATCAACATTACGAATTGGAAGAAAAACTGTCTTGTAAAAGTAAGGCTTTGAATAAATTAAAGGGTGTAAGCCAGGCAGTTGGTCAACCTATTAATGCAAAGGGTGGGTTTGCCAAACCTCCAGAGTACGGTCTGGAGGAAATCAGACTAGGTCGGCAGGAATTAATTGTTCAATTGCAGACTAGTCAGCCAAACAGTTCTAAGGATATAACACATAATGACTCTGAAGTATCTGTCAAGTCGCAAAAGGGAAAAATAATCCCAGTGGTAATAATCAAGTTAAGAGTTAAATAGGCACATATCAAGTCAGGATCAGTAATAGTGGTTCCTCACATCAAGGTAAGAGGAATAAGTACCTCAGTAAGGGTAACCCAGTTAATAAGAGGTCAGGCAAGGAAAAGAGAGACTGCCTCTTCTGCCAGGGTACTCATTTCACTAAAAATTGTAATGCATATAATTCATGGGATATTAAAGTGGAAAGAATGAAAGAACTTGACAGATTTATCAGATGTCTAGACAATCATAATGTAAAGGATTGTCATACCAAATTGAACAGTTGCTATCAATGCAACAAGGGAAGACACCATACAGTTATGTGCAGGGTTGTATGTAATTCTTATAATAATGGTGACAATAATGATAATGTTAATAACCCTGACACTACAGTGACTGATGTAAAGGTTGCAGCTAATGGCAATAATGATGGCCTAGCTGAGGTAGCCTTGCCGGCGTTGGATGTAATAATTCAGGATAAAGGGCATAAATCCAAAACCATGCGGCGTCACTCTCCTCAACACTGGTACGGGCCATGTAATATATGGCAAACTACCGCCTAGTAATAATGACTAGAGGAAGTAGTGAATACAGCCACGGTGTCTTGCTCATAAAAGGTCAACCCAGTACAAGTATTCTTCTATCGAGAATGATACTGAACCGGTCTAATTTGTGGGAGCTGGACAGCATAGGGATTAATATAAATGAGGAAAGTCCAAATGATTCCTTTACTCAGGAACAATACCTGAAGGATGTTAAATGTGAATCTGGACATTACTGGGTGCGACTTCCGTGGAAGCTCGACCGTCCAGAAATACCTACTAATTATAGGATGCCGTATGGACAGTTAAGGGCCCAGCTCTGCGAACTGAGCAAGACACCAAAATTGTTGACTGCTTATAATGATATAATTAATAAACAGTTAAATAATAAATTGTTCTTACTTCAGGCGACGATAAATGCACACCTTAAGTGCACAGGTGGTCCACTGAGCGAAGTAATTGGGTAAATAATCTTATGTGGACAATTTCCGGGTGTGACGTCAACTGAAGAGGAACTAATGAGGATATGTGAAGGGGTTAATGAAATAATGCAGTAATGTGCTGGGGCTGACTTGGGACACTGAGAAAGACTTGTTATTGTTAAAGTCCCGTAATTCCAGTATGCCCAATAAATTAACCCAGGGAGCATAGGCTTAGTGTCACACCTTACAATAAGAGGGAAATTGTTAATACCAGAAGCATGGAGGCTTGAGTGTGCTTTGGGTGGAGCCCTACCTGAGGAGTTAACAGGTGGAAAGAATTAATGGGTGATTATGTAAATACCAATGTTGGAGTTCCCAAGCCAGGTGGCCAGTGAAGATGGGAAAATTGTACTCCACATTAGGTAAGTCGTCTAGCAACGACCTCCGCCTGCCGCAGTGTGGAAAATATTTTAATTTTCGAAGCTATAGTGCCTAATAGGTGTTTAATGTGTCTATATGAGTCAAAAATGTATTTGACAATAGGATAGAACCAAGAGTTCCCTTTGCGCATGCGCGGATGTGCGGGGGTATAGGTCGAACTGGGGCACGAGAGGCGGGAGTGTTTTGAATGTAGTGAGGAGGCTGGGAAAGCATGGAACCAGGAAATTGGCGTTCACGGCGGCCTAAGGATTAATATAGGCCTCATTTCATATTAGGAAGTGTCGTAACTGTTCCTGGTGGAGAGTGAGGGAACGTGATTTACAGGACCACCGTAATAGAGTGGTAAAATGAGTGAATAAGGGTAGGACCGGGTGACTGGCGCATCGCCATGGACTGTGTCCCGGGGAAAATTACCCTTGGTTTAATCATCACTCA